CCCCCAATTTCCGCCCACGCCTCAATATATGTCACTGTCTCTATACAATAATATAGTCTATACCGGCATGCGTTACATTATAACCTATACCTGTACATAATACACAACGTCATTATATAATAATAATTATTGGTAATATTGTACAATGTGATGTGCGCATTAATTTGTCGATATGCCTCATTGTCTTATCGTTAGGATTGACCTGTCAATTACCGTATTGTTATTGATAACTGTTGACGACTTGTCATATCTAATGAATACGAACTATATTATAATACACGCTGTCGCGGGGCCAACACCTTTCAGCCGAAAGGTCAATTAACTCGTCCGGAAATAATAATATTATACACGATTGATATTATTATATCTATAATATAATATTATATCTGTACGTGTGGGACGTGTGGGTTATAGAGGCACCCACTATACGGCTGATCCGAATTGTATCGAAACGTCTGTTATTACAATGCTAATACGGATCGAGCAGCTATCACACAAGTGCATTACTGCATTAGCATTTCTCCGATTTTGAACGGTTAAAAGACCGTCGTATTTCGAAAACGGATAAACAAAACGCTCTCTAGTAGAAACAATTTCTGCAGCCCACCGCTTCGGGATCTATAGACAATATTATAGTTTTATATCGGTTGTTTCACTCTTTCTAATAAATTGATTTTGCGGTTGAAACTTTGTACGCTGGTATAGCTAACTGCATACCCTGGTGAGTACGATTCCTACAGTTATTATCAAATACATTCAAATACACTTCGCTCGAAGCAAAATTTATGTGAAATGTTGAGGAAATACGTACATTCTGATAGTATTGTCTTCCCAATAAATTATCATTGTGGAAGAAAACTAAAATAAAATATCAAGTAATAGTAAAAAATCTTGAAAAAAAATGCAAAAAATTTGTCAGAAGTGGGATTCGAACCCACGCCCTCAGATGAGGACCAGAAAGCTCGGAAAGACCTGCATAGCAGGCCAAGGTGTAACCTTGAGTCTGGCGCCTTAGACCGCTCGGCCATCCTGACATGTTGATGTAGAGTGAAAATTAGACCTATTAAACTGAATTCATATAAATAACGAATAGCCTATAATTCACCTCGAATTTAAACAGTTATTAATTACGTATATTAAAATAAATATTTAATTATCAAATACCATAGTTCGCATAACAACCATATAAGTCAATAGATACATTTCAACAATACATAATCGGGCGAATTGATTTAAAACGTATGTATACCATGGTATATGATGACAATATGACATAAGAGTTCGCAGGTTTGCTGAAAAGTGAAAGGGGATAGGATTTTGGGTACCTTATTTGTACAATCAGTGTTAATTAAAACAAAAAAAACCTACAGGTACAACGCAAATTCGATCGCTCATATTATCCAAAGAATAGGAAAAATTTAATTTAATTTGATGAAGTTTTACACAAAATATCATGGGCCCAATATAACATTTTATATCGACAGATATTAAAAAAAACCTTATAAAAATCAGAAATTTAAAACATCTCAGGAATTAAAAAAGGGGCCAAATTATTTTCAAATGTTTTAATTTACAGAAAATGCTAATACGAACATTTTTTGGAAATGTCTAAGTAGGTACTAACTTATATAATGTTTTTTATTTTTGGGTTACACCAAAAAAACAAAATCGATATATTTTATGGATTACTGGTTAATGGTAATGGGTAAAAATATTACCGTTTTTCCTTAATTTCTACAGATGACGTATCACGACAACAAATACTAATAATAAAATAAAATAAATATTTAAGGGGGCTCCCATACAACAAACGTGATTTTTTTATTATGGTACGGAACCCTTCGTGAGCGAGTCAGACTCGCACTTGGCCGGTTATTCTTCTGCTTATTGGTGGTCTAAATGCATGAAAAAATACGATAATATAACGAGCCGTTTTCAACGGTCATAATAACAAGACGCCTTGTACAACAGAATAGGCAAAACAATTTGCACCCGGTGCAAGCAATGACTACAGGTGGTCGTGACACTTGCCGGATTCATAATAAAGATAACGTCGTCAAGTAAGGGAACATGTCGTTTTATACTCTTAGACAGTCAACAGAGACAATAAACAGACAACGAAAAGGGGTGTAGCGTTTTTCTTGAAAACATTTTTGTACTAATGGTCGTAGTTAGAGGTTTTTTATTAAATCTCTCTTATCGTTGCAACCATAGTCCATAGTATAGAACATAAATAATTATGTTCTAATAGGTCTATGACATAAGTGATAGAATTTTTTATTCTCATCACTCCGGGAGAACACAACTGTGGTATCTTCGTCACGACGTACTCAAGTAACGCGAGGGTTAGGTTAGGTTAGGGTACGTGGCAGATAACCACGAATTAAGATTAATTATCTTGGAAGCAATAGCAAACAGCCGTAACAGCTGTAATTTGACGATAGCGGTTGATAACAATTAAATTTGTATTTTACCCAATCACGTATATCACAAAAACTGTTCTTGTGAGAACAATATTTAGACAAGCTCACTCGTTCACGACGCCAGTCCACAGACGCACGTCTTAAGAGCTTGGCGGACTTGAAAACATAAAAAACAGAAATAATTTTTACCCGAGGAAAACGTAAAATGAACACTGAACATAATCACCAGAATAATAACAATATTGCACAGGTGCATACATCAACTAATTAAAAATATGTGCAGATTTGTTTTTATATAATAATTAATTGTGTAATTTATATCAGAAAAAAAATGATGTAGATGACAAAGAAAATGAAAACGTACAACCTGTTCAAAAACCATTAGATGAGTTTAAATCACACTATCTGCAAAATTTTGAACCAATTTGTCGCCTAGGAAAAGGAGGTTTTGGGACTGTATTTGAGGCTAGAAATAAATTAGATGACTGCAAATATGCTATTAAAAGGATACCAATTCCACAAAGGTAAGCTGGATAGTATTATGATTGGAGTTCATATTTTTACACAATTGTATATTATTGGATTTTTTTAGTAATTTTAATGACTCATAATAGTTTCGAGCTAATGAGTATTTTGGAGAAATTTATAGTTAATTTTACATTATTGAAGTAAAATTAAGTTATTTATCTACCTACAGTTTTAAAAGTCCAATTAAGGTGTAAAATAATATTTTGTCGAGTATTAAATTTTAGTAGATATTATATTTTGTTGGTTATACCCTATCATTCTCAATACTAACTTTATTAATTTTACTAATTTAATCAATTATAATTTTTATCATTTAGCGAATAGGGATAAATGTACATAGGTAGCCTTTTTTTACAAGTGGGCATACAAATAAAAAAAATATAATAAATCAATCAATAAAATATAATTAGTACAAATTAATAATTAAAATAAAATATCAAAACTGTTATTTACCTATATTATATTTTATATTTATTTTAATTTGTCCAAAATTAATATCAAAAAAGTAATTTTATCATAACAAGCCGAAAAATTAAAATGCAATATATAAAACAATTTTTCTTATTCATATTATTTAATTAAAATGTTATAATACATATTAATAAAGTTAAATATTTTGTTTGATTCCACTTGAAAATTATAAAATTTGGTACTACGTAATATTAATTTATAAAATATTAAGTACAATACAATAGTATTGTAAACATCCTTGATTTTATAATTTATATATAAACCAGAACTAAAAGAACTTTAATGAAGTAGGTAGCAGTAGCTCATAAAAATAAACTTATTGGATAAAATAATTAAATATTATTAAGCAGTACTTAGTAGTATTTACTATATTAAATGTATGTGCATAAATTTGTTTTATTTATTTATAATAGACAAGAATCTAGAGACTGTATATTACGAGAAGTTAAAGTATTAGCAAAGTTAGAACATCCAAATATTGTAAAGTATTCCAATGCTTGGTTTGAAGAACCTCCTAGAAGTTGGCAAGAAAAACAGGATGATAATGGGATGCCAAAATCTGAGTAAATAAATTAAAAATGTATATTAATAATTTTTTCATCACATGTAAAGTAAAAGTGAGGTAAACCAAAACCCATTTACCTTACAATTATTTTGTAATAAATACCCGACTAATGAATTACACAAATCAGTAGAATCTAATCTGTAGTGCATACTGCATGTGGAATTTTATATACTCAACACTTTAATATTTAAATACTGTTAATTTTATGCCATTTAAGTATCATCAATAGTTTTACTAAAGAAATTGTACAGAAACAACACAATACACTAGAAAAAATATTTCACACTATCACAGAATTTATTATTTTGAATACGATAACGATCAAAAATTGTTTTGACCATGGTATTTTTACTTCACACTATATAAGTCACAACTTACTTTGTTAAGGCATGAACAAAAATAATTTAATGCAGCTAATAAATTTTAAAAATTCAAATTTTTCGGGCGTTAGCAAAATGGTACCTTTGTTATTCTTATAAAAAAAATCTGGTTTCAAAAGTACCCTATGGCAAATAAATGAATCATAGTGTAATACCATAAGCATTAATTTTTGTGTTTAATATTTTTACCATACAAAAAAAAAATGTTGAACTATATAAAATAAGAGTTTCATACTTTAAATGTATTAAATTGTATGAAATTGATATTTTAGATTAAAATATTCATATAATCATCTGCTTGTATAACAATATTGTTATTGTTTTTTATTTTCTAGTTGTATGGGCACATATAGTAATATAACAACTAGTCCATCACAAGTCACAGAATCATATAGCGATATAAGTGATTTATCTTACATCGTTTTTGGCAATAATAATAAAGATGAAAAACGAGGTAAAAGTTCAGACTACTTAATTGAAGGTAGTAAACAACAGAAATATGAATCTGAGTATGATACAACTAGCGACTCTCATAGTGAACGAAAAGAAACAATACGATTCTTGTATATACAAATGGAACTATGTCAGAAAAATAGTTTAAGAGAAAGGTTGAATAATGGTACTATTAATAGAGATATAATGTATATTTTTGATATTTTTTGCCAAATTATACAAGGTGTTGAATATATTCATTCACAAGAATTCATACATAGGGATTTAAAGGTATAAACAACAATTAGTTAATAAGGTTTAAATTATTTTTAATTTTTTAAATGTCTAGTATAACAATAATATTACTATTTATTTCATAATTTCTAAATGTTAAGGTATAATTTACTATGAAATAGAGAATTGTAAACGCTTTGAAATTTATTTGTTTATTTTGTAATATTTCTGTTGTAATATTGTACTATTTTGCAATCAATTAATTTAAACTAAATAAGTGCAAATAATTTTAATCAACCTATCCATCCACCCTATTTAAAATTTTTCTATTTGTAAATGTTTCTTGTTAATCTTTATTGGACATTATCTTAGACATTTATTTTATTAAATGTTTTGTTTTTATTTTAAACTCAAAACTTGTGTAACAATCATAAGATATGATTATTAATTTAGTAATTAATTATTATTTGTTTTATTTTAGCCTTCAAATATATTATTTTCATCAGATGACCAAATCAAAATTGGCGATTTTGGTTCAGTTACAAAAATGATAAGTTCTGATAAAGTGACTGTATATGATGATTTACAAAATGGTTTAAAAGAACAACACACTGATCAAGTTGGTACTCAATTGTATATGAGTCCAGAACAGGTGAATAATTTAAAAGAAATTGAGGAATATCTAATTATTTTTTAAACAAATATTACAGATACGTAAAGAGCCATATAATTTTAAAGTAGATATATATTCTCTTGGAGTTATATTTTTTGAAATGCTCATTCCTTTCGCTACTGAAATGGAGAGATGCCAAACATTACAGCAAATTAGAAATGGTACATTTCCTGCTCAATTTTTGAAATTGTTTGAACTTAAGACTGAAGTAAGTAAATATCTTATAAATTATGATAAAATGATTTATTAATTACAAATGTTCATCATTATTTTGTTTTTAGAAAGATTTGGTATGCTTAATGTTATCGCAGGATCCAGAAAAGCGCCCAACTACCACTAATATAAAATGTATAATCCAAGTGTACTTGCAACGGTTCGACTTTCTCGTGTCGGACTCATGTCCTTTCTAGACTGTATGTATTCAGAGGATTGTCCAACAATCAAACTATCCGAATTTTTTAGAAGCCAGAATAATTGAATTTCAACAAAATGCATAATATATGTTTACCTTAATTCATCCTTTAAATCAGTGGTTCCCAACTCAACATTATGCATGGGCCACTATTATAAATTTCCTACTACCATGGACCACTACTTAATTATACACTTCTCCCACCCCTACCACTTATTTCTTTATAATTTATACATACATTACAAAATCTGCAATACTGCAAATGCTCTGGAAAAATATTTTAATTTACTCATTTAAAAAAAATAATACAAGTTTAGGTTATCAATAGGTACTTAATTAATGTGACTTATTACCACGCTAAAAACAAATTCTTTAGCCCCTTGAGATGAGTCCACAGACCACCAGTTGGGAACCACTGCTTATGTACAAACGCAGTTATGTAACCACTGCACCATGTAAATACCTAATGTTTTCTCTTAATAGTAATTATTCAATTTATATAATGCCAAAAACTACTATAGTAGTTAATATTAATTTTTTATAACATTTCTATACATTTTATACTTGTTTATATTTTTGATTTAGCTATATCGTTATTATAATACACAAATATTTATAAACGAATTATCAGATATCAGTAATGTTTTTTATACCTACATCATTATATTTTCAAAGAAATCATTGTTTTTCATACTTGAAAATACAATTATTTAAATTACACTGATATATAGCCTGCGCTCTAGTGGTATAATGAGTTCTACTGGCAATTATAGTCAATGAAGCTAAAATGTCTTTCAGAAAGTTAAATATTATTTATGATAGAAAGCTAGATATTATTGCATTAATGTATTATTAATATATTATAATTCATATAACAGAATAATTGATATTTAATAAATTAAAACATGAATTATGATAAAAATCATAATTAAATACCGTGATAATTTTCTGCCAACAAAACAACAATTTTAATTATTTTTTTGCAAATTAAAAATATTATTTGTGGTTACTTATGACTTATGAGTCTATTTTTAAAGAAGAAATGAATGATATCCCTTTACCACCTGTTCCAGTTCTTACAAGGTGGGGAACATGGGTAAATGCTGCGTTATATTACGTAGATTATCTTACCAAATATAAAAAAGTTATCGAGAGACTGGCAATGGATGATGCGCAAAGTATTAGAAAAGTTTTGAATATAATTGAAGGTGGTACTGTTGTCAATGATTTAACATTTATATCAACTCATTTGGCATTTTTAGTGATAGTCATAAAAAAAACTGGAAACTCAAAATATGACTTCAAATGAAAGCATTTCAATAATTGACGGAATCAAAGAAAAAATTAATTCTATTCCTGGGCCAAAAGGTGCAACACTTACTACAAAATTAAATGAGCTTTCCAATAAAATTAAAGGTCTAGAAATTCTACAAAAAATAAATGCAGTACTATCAGCCGAAAACGTTCAGCTCGAAGATGTTTATCAAGACCCGAAAATAATAAGTTGCTTCAAATATGCCCCAACAACTTCGGTTGACGTCGAACGTTCGTTTTCAGTATTTAAAAATATGTTAACTGATAAACGTCATAGCTTCACTGAAGAAAAACTTGAAATGCATATG